ACATCTCTCCTGAATCACAAGGCCTATTTATTTTTTTAATGCAAAATTTAATTAATCACTAATCATGTTATTTACGAATTATAAATAATGTCACTCATAAAATGCACAGAAGATAATCAAATTTCATGAAGTTTGGAATTGTGGATTCTATTACTACTTAATTACTGATTACATGGCACGCTTAAAAGGGAGAGGATCGCCAATTCACCATCAACTCTACTGAAGTGAAAATAAAATTACTAGAATTAATATTATTAGCCTATCCTTAAATAAACTTGATTTAATATATTAGTGTTCTCCCCGCGCTCGGTTGAAAAATAAAATTAAAATGCGTGTTTAAGGAAGCCAATCAATTAGCTAATTGGCTTGCTAAAAAAGCTCTCAGATATTTTGTTCCTCTTAAGAGTATTGTATGCTTCTATTGTAGTCCTTTATTTTAATTTTTTTTCCCGAAAACAAAGGCACAAAAAGAAGAAACATAGAAGGGAGGGGATTATAATCAATGATTAAAGAACCGGACCGGACCGGACGGTCGGACCGGTTGAACCGTCACCCGGACTCGTTAACGGCTCGGTTTGGACCAAAAAACCGTTCACATAGTTGAGCCGGATTGGACCGGAGTTGAGCCGTTATTAAGCCGGAAACCGGAGTTGGACCGGGAACCGGAACGGTTTTCAGAAAACCGGATGGTTTTTTAGCCTGACTGAAAAATACTAAAATTTTTTTTAAGAAATAGAAGAAAAATAAAAAAATTGATCCCCTTAAATATCCTAATATATTTTTAGACTAGTTATAACCATATAGTATTATTTCATTGAAAATTTCATATATTGTGGTGTTAAAATCGTGAGTCGCTAGTCTTTTTGTTTCAATATTTGATCTATCTTTTAAAAAAATATTTTGATTTGAATGAATTGATAATTTGTAATATCATTAAATATTTTAAACATACATAAAATTAAATATATAAGGTTTTAGTCCATTTTCAATGATTTTATTATAATTTTAGATTATTTAAATGCATTTCTAAATTATTTAATAATTTGATATTTTTCATATATACTAATTATATGTATATAATATTTTTTTAAATTAATTATTGCGTCACCGGTCCGACCGAACGGTCCGACCGATCCGACCGATTGAACCATGACCCGTTGATCTTTCCGGTTCGACTTCCGGTCCGGCTTTTAAAACATTGATTATAATTATCACAGCAAAGACAATGGGAAGCAACCAGTTTAATTAATGCCACTGAATCGTTGTAATACAATAGAGACTTTAAGTTGCGGGGATATAGAGGTAAAAAGTACCCTTATCATATGTTTTTTTTAATAAAATTATTATTATTATTGTTATTATTATTACTCCCTCCTATCCTTAATATAGAAGGTAGATAATTAATTTATAGAAGTTTAAAAATTAATTAAGTTAGTTAGATATAAAAAACCATGTATTGGTTTTCTTAACATACTCTTTTTAATCATTTACTACATTAGAATTACCCATTAATAAAACCTCCTTACTATTTGAAATCATTAACAATATTTTTAACAAATTATAAATTTGGGAAACAAAGAGAATTGATATTTTATATTTAAAAGCATAATAAACTCCTTACCAACTCTTATATTTACAATCAAAGGTTTTTTTTTTGGGCAAAAAAAATTGTATCTTGATGATGATAAAACACTATGCTTATATGAATAAAAGCGCATTTACTTGCATTACTCTATAGTCTAATATCTTACTTAGCCAATAATCTTATAGTCTAGTGACCATATAAGCTCCCTTCTAAATGAGAGATCTTATGTTCAATCTTACTCATAAACTCGAGTTGTTGGTGTGACTCTTTAGTTCAGAAAAAAGAAAAAAAAATATAGGTCTTAACAAAGTAGTGTGACTTCAACAAGGGAATTTATCTATCTTGCTGGGAAACATCTCACGCCTGAACTTCTTTTTGTGTATATTTGAAGTGACATTACCTTCCCATGTAACATTAAAAGCTACATACTCCATCCGGTTCAAAATATAAGCTAAATTTTGTTAGAGGAATTTGATTTTTTTTTTTATAACATAACATTCACTCTTATTTAAACATTTAATTTTTTTTTTAATTTTACACCCCATATATTTTTTTCCTTTTTGATTCATTATTACATCTTTTACTTATTCTTTTTTTAATAAAGACATTTTTGAAGGAGAAAAATATATGTCTTACATATTTATTAATTTTAACTAATTTGATGATAAATATAAATAGATAAAGTTTATCTTACATCTTAAACCGGAGAAGTATAGATGTATTTCGCTTGCATTTGTTATGTACTGCAAGGCAGCATTACTTCATTGTGAATTTATTTTGAGCATCATTGCAACACTAATTGCCACATAATGGCGCTTGTGATCGCACAGTGAATCATTGTACAATTGGCTGACACTATCTCATACAATTGAAACAGGTGACCATCCCAAGAATTTGACTGACTTAAATAACTACTTTCGGAGCTGTATATGTACATTTGGGCAGGCAAATCTGGACACAAAAATCAACATGATCTCATTTAACCATATCTCTTATCTGTTTGTTATAATTAATTACATGTCAACGTCCAACCACGTGGGGCTGCCATTTCTTCCAACAAAGCAGCCCCACAAATTTTAAAAAAACAAAAGCATAAAAATCCCTAAAGGCTGAAGCATGCGTATGACAATGCGGATCCTTCCGTACAAACATATCAACATACTTTGAAAATGTTACCCGTGATTTCATTTCTCAGGGGCGCAGCATCCCAATTTTTTAATATTACAATTTTATCCTCTTTTTTTTATGTATCCAAAAGTCAAGAGTAAAATTGCACCAAAATAAGATCATAGATAAAATTAAACCAAAAAAATATACATAAAATTACACTACTAAAAAAATCAGTATACTCAATACACCTGAAATAAAATCATGAATAAAATTGTACTTTTATGCACATTAAATTAAATCTCTTTGGCCCAACGCTTTCAGACAATGTTCTGTCAAATATGAGATTCATAATCTTATTATTTAAGGACCATCCAATCATATGCATGCACGTAAGCCCTCACATTTAAACTACATGATGTGCCTGCCATCTCAATCTCTGATAACTTCCATTGTTTTAGGACTCAAGTTCCCGTGGATACACCCGGATTCCAAGTAGTGATAACTATGTTAGTTATATTATATTCTATTATTTGGTCATAGGAAAATAAGTCACATTCTATAAAATTTTCTTGGCACTTCATTTAAGATGATGTAGAAAATATGTGAACCATTGATTCTTTTTTCTTTTCCAACTATGCCTTTCGTACAATTACGATTGAGAGGCATTACTGAGATATTAGGAGAGACAATCATTAGAGGGATAGGAATCAATGAAATGAACGAATTTTAACGAGAGTAATTTTTAAAAACTCACAAAATTCATTAAAAAAAATCCAAGACCACAGATACTCCTAACAAGTTTTCTTAATTTGTAGTTATAAATTGGTCTAGAGGGAGTGATGTGAAACAAATATGGAAGACGGCACACAACTAAATCACCCATGTCAAAAATATTAACTAAACCCTCAACGTCGTTAGATATGGTGGGATTTGACAAAATGCCGGAATTGAAGTATCAGCTTAGCTTGGTTTTAAATTTGCATATACAAGAATTATACTCAAAACATGAACAAAGGCATCTAAGGATATGTTTGAAATTGCTTTGAAATGGAGTTAACACTTGGCCAAAATCCACTTTCTGGCTCCCGTGATTCCAATCAAGCAGCAACATTTCTTTACCTTTTAAACTGGCCATTCTTAAAGGCTTTTCAAGCAGTTCACACATGAAGGATGAATTGTATAGAAGCAAGATAGTAAAAGAAAGCATGATTACACCCTCAATGGCCTTGATAGTATTCTTTTATTCAGACATTCAGAGTGACCCAAGACGGACTAGTAATTAAGTCATCAACTACAAGCAGTCAAAGAATGCACCACTCAGTCTCCTTACTAAAATTATACTCCATTAATTTCATTTACCTAAAACTTACCTGCTTCACAACTTTAATTACTAGGAAGAATGGGTTACGTTAGAGAGCAATTCTACTGTGTTAGTTTCGTAAGCTATTGACTTAGTTTATCTCATGTATTATAAATATATATAGGAGGTAGGTATAGTCATTCTATTTTCAGTAACATATATAAGAGTAAATTTATAAAGCTTCTACAGCAATTTCACCATGACAATCCTAGGAATAAATAGTTCTAGGTTTAATGGAAGAGTAACTTAAGAGTACTTGCGTCTACTTCAATTTCACTTTCAAGTAAGATAGATGCTCCCCTTTGGAGTCCTCATTCAACAACCATATCTGATTTACAAATTACAAAACACAATCTCACATTTGTATGAGAACTCTTGACAAGATAAACCTGGATGTCTAACCTGATTTAAGCCATTTCAACAACAACAAGAAAATTATAATGGGAGAATCTAAGTTTTTTCTGTTGTTTAATACAATTAACTAATGATATGTTATCTTTCAGCTATTTTCACAAGTGGTCATGTATTGAAACAAAGATTTATCTTTGACAACAATGCAATCATAAATAATTGGAATCTTCGGATGTAATAATGAAAGGAAGATGGGCCAATTTGCATAAACAAGAAGCACTTGCAATGAATCTGTCTGCAGCACAATTATAAATCATAGCCAAATAATCCTCTTTGAAATAAGGATTAGAAATACCATATTGCAAGGTATAATTATTAAACCAATAATTTTGTAAAATCAAATCTAAAATATTTAAGTTGATTACTAAGTAATGATGGAATTCTTAGTCTCAGGCTTTCGGCCAAAACCAGAATGTTATGAGAATCTATAAACGTGGTTTTCACCATATTGATAGACAACCCACAACACAGGGAACCTGTTCAACTGAACCACCATATGGCATTGGCTCTGAACCAGGATATTCAGTCTCAACAACACAACACAAACAGTGAATTATAAACAATGCTAGTTAAAAGTCTACAAGTGTCTAGAAAGATTTGGATCAGCAGCTGAATAATGCTACTTTACACTGAAAAGAAAAATAAATAAATAAACCTAAAGCTTGTATAGGTTCCCAGTTATTTCTCTTACCTAGATGCCCAATATTTCAGTAGACCACAAGTACTAAAATACAAATGTATTGAAGCAGGTACATTATGAAAAGACAAACATTGGACAAGAAATACAAATCATCAGGTTCAAATAAATTACTAATGCCAGAACAAGAGGTGAAATAAAACCAACAATTTAAGATGCAGCAACTGCAAATCATTAAAACTATTCTAGAACTTATTCCTGCATATGACTTAGATAATTATGCTACATTCACGGAAAGAAAGATGATGGTGATGACTTCCATCTTCCCAAGGGGCCAAGACGATCTCTATACCCCTGCCAAACGAATAAATGCAACCGAATAAGAGTATCCTTCAATTAATTGCTCTTTCTATTGCAAATTAGTTGCTATGTTTAAGAAACTGATTTTCATTGTTCTATAAGGAAGCCACTCTATCCACCGTAAAATGATCCATATAGGAAAAGTTAATAAATCTATTAACAGAAAACTAAGCAGTGGGCTTGAAAGTGTAAGGTTGTGGTAGCGTCAACGGACCTCTCCTCGACCCTTTATCATCCAGCAGCCTCTGAACCCTCTTGTTCTGACAGTACTGCCTATCGAAATGTTTCACCTATAAAAAAGATTAACATTCAAAATTAGCAAAAGATCATACTCTCAAGACATGAAATATCAAACAAATTAGAGACCCATCCTACTACCCAAGAAGTACGGCATTGTTTGACAAACTCAGCTCTGGATTCTTTACATTCCACAGGGTATAACAAACCAACCGAAGCAATTTCTGTGGGCTTCTTGTCGGATTCTTTTTCCAGACACGCGTAGAAAGCATCGCGAGCCTTGAAGAATTCATCAAATCACGAATGAGTCACCACAGTTCCATTGAAAAACACATGAAGATATACAATAAGGATGTATATTATAAGTATAAATTTGTGAGAATTTGGAAGAGACCTTGTAACAAGCTTCCCTAGCTTTTGTGAGGACGTCGGTGTGGATGTTGTCAGGGTTTCCTGCTGCGTAAGCTTCTACGGCCATGGCGGAACGAGAATTGACTCCGGCAAAAGGTAATGACGGCGGGGGAACATATATGAGAATAGCTTATTGGGCTAAACACATAGGCTCATCTATTTCGGCCCAATAACCGGTAGTATTGGGCTCTTCTATTGGACCACGATTCACTTTCAGTCCTGTGGTTGATTTATAATAGGCTCCAGAAATGTCTTGTGGCTTGTGAACATATATACGGGGTCTGCTTGCTGGGCTAACCACTTGAGCCCATATAGCTTCAACCCAAAAGCACGTAGTCCCGGACTCTTCCATTGGGCCAGAATTTCTTCTTTGCAGCATATTATCCACAAACTCTAGAAACCTCCTCTCCTTCGCTCCCTCACCAAGTGTCGGGAGATATTAGAGCTCGTAAAGTGAGCTAGCGGTGTGGATACAAGCCAGCTCATATAGGTGCGGGCTAAAGTAGCCCGCACCTTAGTGGGCTGGCAGAGCTTGCTAGCCCGTCTAAATATTTTTTTAAAGAAAAAGCTATTATTATTAGTATGAGTTAGGTTTAGTTTAAAATGTTAAAATTAGACTTGGAGTCTTAAACTTGAGTAATAGGTTGTAATAAATAATATGATGATTAATTTATAGTTTAAAAGATATTTTAAAAAAACTAACACATATTTTTTTATAAAATAATTAACTTTTTCTTATCTAAACTAATTAAATAGATCTTTTATGTGTATGTATATATAAGCATCACGTGTTTATTAATAGATGAAAAAAAATGGACGATGCTCTTTATATAACTACACACATATATAAAGTACTTAATTACATATGTAATGATATGAATGGGACAATATCCATGTGGAATTTGAGGACCAAAATCCTCCAACCATATTATATAATATATTGGGAATTTCATGAAAAAGTTTTTTTTTTTTAAAAAAAGCGGAGTTGGGGTTGGTGGAGTGGGTAAAAAACGATGTAGGTTGGAGTAGCCCACACCTTGGCAGGTTGGCAAAATGCCAACCTGAGCCCGCCGTCTGCAAGCTCAACCCGTATTACTGGCGCTAAGGGATATGTCCATATTTAGTGCCTAACAATGCCTCAAATATGATTGCTTTCAATAAAAAGATACGTATGCTTTAGCAGGGGGAATCGAATCCCCATTAGGAAAGTTGTCCACATTTTGTATCCGATAGTGTCTCAAACAGGATTGTCTACCTATATGTAGCCCAAAAAAAAAAAGTATTAGTTTAAGTGGTAGGGACTTGGACACCTTAAGCATCTAGTTTTAGGTTTGATTCTTGAAGCGGTGTATATAGAATAAAAATACTATTGGGAAGGGTCATCTTTATGACACCTAATAGTACTTGGGAGATTAGTCTCTCACAATTTGGATGGAGATACTTTGAGCAATGAAGAAAAAATGTGATAGCTTATGCTTTTGTTATGAGTATTGGATTCTAAATTATCTAAAATCAATATGAATAGCTCATATTAAAATGAATACTCCCTAGTCATCATTTTTCTCCCACCCTAGCCCAGATCACTCATTTCATGTCAAACAAATGTAATGATTTTTTGATAACAACTCTATTTCACCTGAAAAGTTTCACAACGATAGGCAATTCACTCAATATAATGACGCAACTAATGATATCCCACCTAACTCTTTAAACAGCATGTATGAATAATTAATATATACCTAATGTTATTCACCAATATATAATAATATACCTTATGTATTTTTATTTTATAGGACAATATTTAGGTAAAAAATTTTATATTCATTATGTCAAATTCTCTAATCACATTTAGTCATATATCCTCTTTTTAAAATATCATCATTAAGTTATAAACCCACATGAAAAAAATAAGACACATGGCCATGTGTGATTTAAGAATTTGATATAGTGAACATAAAAAATTTGATGTAAGTATTTTCTTATTTTATAATGTGTATTTATTTTACATCTCCTATGTCAATATTTTAACTTTTTTTCAATTATTTTGATTGATTTGAATGACTGCATCCACAGTTTAAAATTTCCGGATACGTCGTTGTAACTTGCCAGCGTAATATGTGTGTATCTTTACTCTATTCTTAATACAAGGACCAATTAGTAAATTAAATTTGGCTTTAAATATAACATCTCAACTTATTTTATCTCTTATATTTATGATTATTTTTTCAAACTATTCATGTTAGTTGCACATGTTAAGATGGTTTCCATATTAGTGGACAAGTTCCAATACAAGTAATTAAAAATGATATTTTAGATAAACCAAACTAACTAAATTATTTTTTTTAATTTTTGCTACTGGAAAAATACCCTTTTATATTGTCTAATCTATGTCGTTATTGTGCCAACAGTGTAATAAATGAGGTGGTGGGATTTTTGTAAATAACTATTCAATATTTACATAGGTTATTATCTCGTCTGGTGTCTTTATTACTTTCTACATCAAATGTTAACCTAACCAGTGTAAGGGTACTTAAATGACATCGATAATTGTAAATAACCAATGTTACTAATCTTTCCATTGGCCTATCTCTCTATTGGCGCAAGAACTGGTACAGATTAGGTGTTGTAAAAAGGTATTTTTTTAGTAGTAAAAATTTTAAAAATTGATTAAGTTAGTTTGGTTGATCTAAAATATCATTTTTAATTACTAGCTTGTATTGGAATTTGTCCACTCATATGGAAACCCTCTTAACATATGCAACTAACATAAATAATTTGAAAAAATAATTATAAATATAGAGATAAAATAAGTTGAGATGTTATATTTAAAATTTAATTTAATTTACTAATTGGTCCTTATATTAAGAACAGAGTAAATACACACATATTACACAGGCAAGTTTCAATGACATATCCAGAAATTTTAGACTGGGATGCAGTCATTCAAATCAATCAGAATAATTTAAAAAAAAAGTTAAAATATTGATATAGGAGGTGTAAACCACCAGCCATGTCATGTCACTGTCTATTTAAGTTCAGAAGCCAACTGTCCTTCTTGTTCTCCATCATATTTGTCTACTATCATCGACAACCCCATAATGGCAAAAGCGGCAGAAAGGCATCCCAACCCATCCTCCATCTTTCCCTCCTCCCCCTCCCCCCCACCCTTCGAGCTCCCCCGCATCCCCCTCCTCTCAACTAGCTACTTCAAAGAGTAACGACGATTGATCGCAACCTCCACTGCATAGTGTCTCATTGCTACGCCCTCAACAATAAGGTTAACTTCCTACTTGATGATAGGCACATCGAGTATGATGACATGGAAAACCCCTCCACTGCCTCCTTCTTATCATCCAATGAAAAAGCCTCCTCCTCCTCCAGCTATTAGTTTCTTTTTATTGTAAAAATGTATTCTTTTTTTTAATAGTTTGTAAAGGCGATCTTCATGCTCCCCACCAAATATAAATATATATATGATATTTTGTGATAATATTCTACTTTGTGTTGTTCCTTTTAACATTTTTCTATTCTCGATATTTAATAATGAACCAAAACTAGTAAAAATATTGTCTTTTTTTTTTTTTTGCCTGTTTAAAGAAGGAGAAGGACAGGTAACTAGTTATTTTCTTGGAGTCTTTATGCTGGGTGTTGTCAAATTCAATGTAGCATTTAACATTTACACCTATTATCTTGTGTTTGATGTCAATGAGTTTTCAATACCGTTTCTATGTCAATCAGTTTTTTTTATTTTTGCCCTAACTATGAATAAGGCCCTCCTACCTTCAGTTCGCAATCTCATCAGAATATGAAGAGGCGCGCTCTTAGAAAGAAAGATGGAGATGGCATGGAGTGCTCAAGTCATCTTCTGTCACTCACCATTATCGTCGTTATTCGTTGCCTCTACTGTTCTATTCTCACTGCAAGTAATATTGTCGCTGTTTTATTTCTCCACTGTGCTATTTGCCTAAACCCTAATATGAGTTTCTTCTTTCTGTTTGAGATCATTTTTTGAATCTGCCCACCAAAGGTTGCAATAAAGTGTCTGAGGCTTAAGGCCTCATTACCATAGTTGGTCCATTAAACGGGATGAGGAACTCTACCAAGTATTTGTCATTCAAGCATGATCAGATCCGAATTGCAATATCTTGAATGACCAAGTACTTGTTAGAGATCTAGTTTATCCTCACAAAAGGAACTAGCCTTTGTTTTCTTTCTCCCTAGTAAGCTATTTTCCTAAACCCTAATAAATTAATGTTAACTACTAGACTACTTTGTGTTTTCA